CCCCGGATGCTGGAGTTCCTCGGCCAGCTGGAGGAGAGCGCAGTTCAGCGGGACAGGATGAACAAAGGGGCGAAGATCTCCAGCGTGGCCGGCAGCTCTGTGGGCGCCGTCGGGGGTGTGCTCTCCATCGTCGGCCTGGCCCTCATTCCAGTCACAGCTGGGGTGTCTCTGGCTCTGACCATGACTGGAGTTGGGCTGGGGGTCACCAGCAAAGTCAACAGCGTGGTCACCACAGCCACAGAGATGGGGGTCAATCTAACTCAGCAAAAGAAAGCCAACGAGGTCTTCCAGAGCTTCATGGAGGACGTGGCAAGAATCCAGGACTGTCTGGGCGAGGTGAGCCGGCAAATGGTTGCCAAAATGGAAACGGATGGCATAGAGGTGGCCGTGGGAGTCGGCAAGATCCTTCGTAATTCCGTCACTATTGGAAGAGGCATTAATAAGCTTGTGGACATGGCTTCTGCTGCCAAGCTGCTAAACGCAGAAAAGGCCATTGCAAGTGAAGGTAAAGTTTTGGCTCAGGAGGGAAAAGCTTTGCGCAACAATCCCAGGGTGGCTTCAGAAATCCCGGATGTCGGCTCGGCAGTTGCAAAAGGGCCTCTTGCCCTCGGCAAGGGAGCTCGGGCAGGTTTCATCGCTCTCAACGCTCTCTTCCTCGGCATGGATATCTTCTTCATCTGCAAAGACAGCATCAGTCTGGCCAGAGGCAGCGAGACCGAGACCTCCCAGTTCATCCGAGCCAGAGCCGCGCTGTGGAGCTCAGAGATCGACTCGTGGAAGAAGATCCACGACTGTCTGGATGAAGGCCTGAAGACGTCAGCGAAGAAGAAGGCCGTCCTGGAGACGCCCTTTTATCCTGATACTTAGAGGATCAACGAATTTGGCTCCTCAGCTTTGACTATCGGAATGTGGCTTTCAAGTGATGGCTGTAAATATCCTAATTCAACAAATCTGTATCCCAGTTTTAAAAAAATCATATTTTAAGACGAAACTGATAACCAGCTTCATTAAAAAGCATGTTTTTTAAATTGATAATCAAATAAGAACAATGTTATCAAGAAGACGTGATTATGATAAAATTCACTGTTTGATGTAATAATTTCATACGTCTGATGTGAATTTTGTCCCTTTTGCACTATGATTAGATAAATAATGATATCATTACTTGAAGCTCTGACTGTTCTGTAGGTTTAATTCTCTGCTTTTGCTGCTACTGGGCTCAAATTCGACATGTTTCAAACTCACCAGAGTTTTTGTACAATTTGCTTCAGTAGATCAATAAAGATTTTTGTGAAAACATTCAGATGCCATCTTTGAATTTGTTGTTCCTGCTGAACACCTTGGGGTTTGTAGGTGT